TTTGCTGGTAACATTCTTTTTTCATTCGGTTTTTCTAGTTACGGGTCCTTTTTTAAAGCTGATCGTTTTGTGTTCATTTTGTTTAGTTCTTTTTTCGTAACAGATTTAATGTTTAGTATAGAGCTTAGAAAAAATTCGCAGTGCGAGATAGGCAAGAAGTAAGGCATGTAGCAACATCAGCACGGCAAAGGGCACTCCTTTAAAGGCAAGGAAGGGCAAATATATATATGTATGAGTCGTACGATTTTTGAATCAAGCAAAGCAACGCCGGGCCATGCTGCTAGTTTGTTAATAAAAGAAATTCTAATGTAGTGCAGTGTATTGTGTATATTTAAATTTATTTAATAATGTTATGTATTATGAGTGTTTATTATTTTCTACACGCATAATAGTTGGAATATAATATGCAAGTGTTTAGTGTTGTAACCTAGGGAAGGTTGCTGAACAGAATAATCGCACAAAGATTGGTAATGAACGATAATACTTAGGACACAAACAACACATATAAGAATTGCCAGCGGCGTGTAGAAGAAGATTTCAACTGCTAGAATTGAGTAAATTTCGCAATGAATCTCCTACTGCAGGATATCTACCAACCGCCTCACGCGGTCATATGTGGCAGAATGCCGAATTTAATGTGGGGTATCAAAAAATTCGGCCCAAAATTCTCCGTAGACACCGTATAAAACGGAGTCAGGTAGCTGTTTGTCGAGATGAGACTCTGCCCTTCAACATAGCCTCGTCTGGGTATCCTCTCTGCCCGGAGGCAGGGAGTTTAACCAGCACAACTGGAGACGAATCTCCAACTGAAGGATATCTACCAACCGCCCCACGCTGTCAGATGTGGCACAAGGCTGAATTTAATGTGGGTATCCAAAAATTCCCGGTAGACCCCGTATAAAACGGGGTTAGGTAGCTGTTTTCCGAGGCAAGACTCTGCCCTTCGACATAGCCTCGTCTGGGTATCCTCTCTGCCCGAAGGCAGAGAGTTTGACCAGCACAGATTGAGACGAATCTCCAACTGCAGACCAACATACAGTATTTACTACTGTATTTATGTGAATGGGAACATACCCATTATCGTCCGTAGGTATGCTGCACCATTTATATACGCGGATTGATATAAGAATATGTATCAAAAACAAATACTGAATTTCCTGTTAAAAATACCGAAAAACTTTCTGTTTCTAACGGTCTTAGATCAAGAACTTTAATGAAATTTTGCGCTGCACCAGGCAGGTGTTCAAGGTACAATATACTTCGAAATTGCTTGTTTAAGCTGTATATCGGGAACAAACATAACTTTTTTTTTTTTAACTTTTCACCCCTAGCAAAGCGTGAGTGGCACTAGCACGCAAGGGGTTTTAGAAAGTGGGAGCAAGAGTAAAGAGGCGTGAAAGAGGAAACTATGAAGGGAAGGACGGGGAATGGATCAAGGCATCTGGAGATGTCGATTGACATTGCATTTGAATAGTTGGAGATTATAGTTATCAGAAAAGCAAGTAAGAGGAAGGGAATTCCACAGACGGGAAGTGCGAGACATGAAGCTATTGGAGTAGAAGAGACGGCTACATTTAACCGTTTCGACAGTGAAAGGGTGGGACTGAGACGCCGACCTAGTGGCACGTTTAAATTCATGCAGTTTCGGAAATAGCGAAAATAGCTCGTCAGATTAGTTACGTGAAAGTAGTTGTAGAAAAGACAGAGGGAGGCGACGGCACGTGTGTGAGAGAGCCACCGTAAACGAGATGCCAGATCAGGGCCAACCACATTGCATATCCGTCTCTGGATTTTGTCGGGGACCCTAAGACGAACAGCGGGGGTTCCAGACTATATATGACAGCAATATTCCAATATACCTGCATACAAGAGTTTTAATATTATATAGATAGATATTCGTTTCAATGAGTTACCATCCATTGTTAATGCTTCAGGTGGCATCTTCAGCCTGAATAATTGATTCGGGATTCGTAGTTTGGTTTGTTTTACGGCATATCAACATCAATGGGTTATTTAATGCCGACAAGATTTTTATTGATGGTAATATCTATCTATCTATCTAATATATATTAGTATGGTTTGTTTTACGACATATCAACATCAATGGGTTATTTAATGCCGACAAGATTTTTTTTTTAATATCTATCTATCTACCTAAGTATATATTAGTATGGTTTGTTTTACGACATATCAACATCAATGGGTTATTTAATGCCGACTATCTATCTACCTAAGTATATATTAGTATGGTTTGTTTTACGACATATCAACATCAATGGGTTATTTAATGCCGACAAGATTTTTATTGATGGTAATATCAATGGGTTATTTAATCTATCTATATTCATCTATCTGTTAAGTATATATTAGTATGGTTTGTTTTACGACATATCAACATCAATGGGTTATTTAATGCCGACAAGATTTTTATTGATGGTAATATCTATCTATCTACCTAAGTATATATTAGTATGGTTTGTTTTACGACATATCAACATCAATGGGTTATTTAATGCCGACAAGATTTTTATTGATGGTAATATCTATCTATCTATCTAATATATATTAGTATGGTTTGTTTTACGACATATCAACATCAATGGGTTATTTAATGCCGACAAGATTTTTATTGATGGTAATATCTATCTATCTACCTAAGTATATATTAGTATGGTTTGTTTTGACATATTCAATGGGTTATTTAATGCCGACAAGATTTTTATTGATGGTAATATCAATCTATCTAATATATATTAGTATGGTTTGTTTTACGACATATCAACATCAATGGGTTATTTAATGCCAATTTTTTATTGATGGTAATATCTATCTATCTATCTAATATATATTAGTATGGTTTGTTTTACGACATATCAACATCAATGGGTTATTTAATGCCGACAAGATTTTTATTGATGGTAATATCTATCTATCTACCTAAGTATATATTAGTATGGTTTGTTTTACGACATATCAACATCAATGGGTTATTTAATGCCGACAAGATTTTTATTGATGGTAATATCTATTTATCTATCTAATATATATTAGTATGGTTTGTTTTACGACATATCAACATCAATGGGTTATTTAATGCCGACAAGATTTTTATTGATGGTAATATCTATCTATCTATCTAATATATATTAGTATGGTTTGTTTTACGACATATCAACATCAATGGGTTATTTAATGCCAACAGGATTTTTATTGATGGTAATATCTATCTATCTACCTAAGTATATATTAGTATGGTTTGTTTTACGACATATCAACATCAATGGGTTATTTAATGCCGACAAGATTTTTATTGATGGTAATATTCATCTATCTATCTAATATATATTAGTATGGTTTGTTTTTACGACATATCAACATCAATGGGTTATTTAATACAAGATTTTTATTGATGGTAATATTATCTATCTACCTAAGTATTATGGTTTGTTTTACGACATATCAACATCAATGGGTTATTTAATGCCGACAAGATTTTTTATTGATGGTAATATATTATCTATCTAATATATATTAGTATGGTTTGTTTTACGACATATCAACATTTGGGTTATTTAATGCCAACAGAATTTTTATTGATGGTAATATTTATCTATCTACCTAAGTATATATTAGTATGGTTTGTTTTACGACATATCAACATCAATGGGTTATTTAATGCCGACAAGATTTTTATTGATGGTAATATCTATCTATCTAAGTATATATTAGTATGATTTGTTTTACGGCATATCAACATCAATGGGTTACTTAATGCCGGCAAGATTTTTGGGGATAGGTTCATATGAATAGGACATGTATTTTTTGTAAGAAATCAGCTTTTAGTTCAGGTTTCATTGACGTATATTTGTAAAGAGGTTTTTTGTCAAGAGTCAAATGTATTACTGGTAATATTTTTTTTTCCAAAAATATATTGCTGGTAATTAGTAATTAACCTACAGGTGGGATGGAGAAGAAGTAGATTCATACCTTTCCCAATGGGTATTTACACGTAAGTGAATATAACAAACCCAACGGGAATTGAAACTCAGCTCATCGATTCACAATTCCGAGTCATCATCCATTACATCACCCGTACATCCAAGCTAACAGCACCTGGTATTTCTCAAGCAGTCACCCATCTACTGACCAGGCTAGGATGTTGCTTAACTTCGATGATCGTACGATAACTGGTGTTTCAACGTGATGAGGACGTAAGCCTTACTGATATTTCATACTCGATGTTGTTTTTTATTTATAGCTTCTGCAATTTTGTTTTTGTTTTTAATTCCGTTCGTCTAATCCTGTCTTTAACTTACTTTTCATACATCCCTTTAATACAAGCAAATTGATATGCAAAGAAAGACAGACATATCGAGAAATGAGTGTATATATATATGTATATATATATATATATATATATATTCAGTTGCATGGATATTAGTTTGTAACCCTGGGTTTCCCGCTTTTGCGATCATCAGACAAACTGTTTTTTTTTTAATGGATCTATTTATGCTTATTTGTGTTCGATTATTTGTGTGTGGTGGACAGGAGAATTTTCTTCTGTACTTGTTTGGGCTGGCATTCTCCCATACATAGACACACATACATACAGGCGTATGCATTTTAGTTCGTACAAACACACCCATATAAATAATCTGATGTTAAAATGCATACGCCTGTATGTATGTGTGCCTATGTATGTAAGTGTGCCATCCCAAACACAGAAGAAAATCCCCCCTCCACCACACAAACTAATACGCATACAACTGAATATGTTAGCTCTATCACAGATATTGTGCACTTTCCACTAAAAGCATATATATATATATATATATATATATATATATATATATATATATATATATATATATATATATATATATATATAGGCAGATAGATAGTATAGTCAGATAGTAGGATAGATAGATATGTACAGACCTAGACAGTAGGATAGATGGATATGTACAATTAGACATAACGGCATATCAACTCCTTGTAGGTCATTTAATAATAGATAGATAGATAGATAGATAGATAGATAGATAGATAGATAGATAGATACGGAGTTGAGAGTTAGAAAGAGGGGGAGAGAGACATAGATAGATAGATAGATAGATAGATAGATAGATAGATAGATAGATACGGAGTTGAGAGTTAGAAAGAGGGGGAGGGAGATAGATAGATAGATAGATAGATAGATAGATAGATAGATAGATAGATACGGAGTTGAGAGTTAGAAAGAGGGGGAGGGAGAGAGAGATAGATAGATAGATAGATAGATAGATAGATAGATAGATAGATAGATAGATACGGAGTTGAGAGTTAGAAAGAGGGGAGGAGGAGAGATAGATAGATAGATAGATAGATAGATAGATACGGAGTTGAGAGTTAGAAAGAGGGGGCGGGAGAGAGAGACACAGATAGATAGATAGATAGATAGATAGATAGATAGATAGATAGATACAGAGGGATATGTGACATAGTGTTTTTAGTTCAAGGCCAAATGATGTGAGTGGAGAAGTGTGCCTCATTACGGTATTTAATCGAAAATTTCCCAAATAAGCTTTGCTATTGATTTACTCATACTTTAAAGATTGTATCTTTATTTAACATTCTCAGCTTTGCAGTTTACGGGCGCCATTTTCTTTTTTAAAACAGGTATTAAGAAATCAATAAACTCGAGGTAAATACAAGTGAAAATGTCAACAGGTTCAATAGACGAGGTAGAGGTTAGTTTAAATCACTTGAGTTTAATGTCAAACGTTTATTCCTGGTCGTTGTCAACATTCTGAGTTCACCAAAGCATCATTACGAAATATCAAGCTGTTATAATGAAGTTAAGCCGAATGGCATAATTAAACCCTTTTCCAGAAACATAACCACTTGGTAACCATCTAAAAGTATTATACAGACAGGAGGAAGCGTTATTATTACATAATGTAGTATGCGTGTTTGTAGGATGTTTAATAGTACGGGCGCCTGAAAAGCTATCTGAAAGCTCACTGGAAGGATCATGAGGAAGACGAATCAAAGCAACCCCATGCCGAATCGGTTGAGACCCGGATCAACAATGGTCGCCAGCCCCAGTAACTCACTCTAGGATGAGTGTAACATGTGGGCATCTGGAGCGACAAACATCAAGCTACCGACGCAGGGTACAACCGTCGGAACGTGAAACGTGTCGTACACTCTCTGGTTTTAGAGAAAGAGTGGACGGACATAACAATGGCGGCACTCCTGAAAGCCACTGCCAACAGATCAGACCGGAAGAGCTTGTCTTTTTCTTCTGTTCTCAGGTCCCCACCCTCAACGACTGAATCAGTCGTGAGACTAATGATGATGTATAATAGTATGCGAAACAAAAGTGGAAATGAAGAGACAAAGTAGAAAAGTTTATAACCGACGCGTTTCGCCGACGGGACTTGTGTTGGTTTCGATTTCTTCAGCTTGGAATGAAAAACAAAATTACGTGTAAGGAAAACGCGTTGGGATTTTTTGAGGATAAGAGAAGGCAATAAATTAAATTACCTTATCAGATCCGACGACCCGCAGACACTTTCTGGTCTTTGTTCGTTACTTCTATAGAACAGTAAATGCTGGACTATCTCATCACAGATGGATAAGGAAGTGGAGGCAACAGAAAAGTGGTTATACAGAAACATGTTGAGAATACCAGGGACTGAACACGGAAGTAACGACAAAGTTTTAGAGAAATTGGAAACGACAAAAGTTTCTTATACGAAGCACCAGAAAGAGATAGTTGAAATTTCTAGGACACATAATAAGAACGAGGGCCTGGAAAATTTAACACTCACAAGACATTGAAGGTAAAATGGGAGGAGAAAAACAGCGCATAATAAACTTAACGAGCGTGTGTAAATGGTTGGCAGAACACAAATTAGGAGATATAGCAAAAAGACAAACTTTACTAAGGGATAAAAAGGGCAGGAAGCTGTGGCGAGCCATGCTCGCCCACGCCCTGAAAAAGCACGGCACATAGATTGATTAATTCGTTTTTTAACAGCTTATCAACCCTTTTCAAGTTAATTAAAGCCAGAAAATATATTTAGATTCTAAGAAGTTTTTTTTTTAAAATAATCATTTTTTTGTGATACAAGTTTTACTAATTAACCCACAGCTGGAGGAGAAAGAGAGGGATTCATACCTTTCTCAAGGGTATTTGCGCGTAAGTGAATATAACAAACCCAACTGGAATTGGAAATTCCAAGCCGTTATACATTACGCCACCTGCACATCCAAACTTACAGAACCTGGTATTCCCAAGCGGTCACCTATCTATCAGGTCATCCCATGAGTTCTGTCCGAATTTTGAATAAAGAAAACAAGTGACCAAATGTTACATTTAATTACAGATTCAATAAACAATGTATTTTCCCTGATTATCTATGACTTCCTTCCATCTATTAACAAGCTTACTAATTCCATTACTGTAAAATTCTTTTGGCTTTGATTCGAAGAACTCACAAATGTCAGTTTTAACCTCTTCCTGTGTTAAAAAAGCTGTTTCTTCCAAATGATTCTGTAAGCTACGAAACAAATGGTAGTCTGAAGGAACAAGATCGGGAGAATAAGGTGGATGAGGAATTTTCTCCCAACCAAGTTCTTCGATTTTTGTGACGGGATTCTTGCTGTGTGGGGTCGCGCATTGTTCTGATTAATCATCACCTCTTTTCGATTCACTAGAGCAGGTCTATTTTTTCCTCAAAGCTTGGTTCAAACGCTCTAATTGGTGGCAGTATACCTGAGCATTAATTGTTGCATTAGGTGGTAAGAATTCAAAGTGGATTATTCCTTGACGATCCCACCAGATTGAAAGAAGAACCTTTTGCCCATGAAGTTCCCTTCTCGGCTGTGGCTGGGGTCCTTCCCCTTTACCAAGCCACTGTCTACGACGCTTAACATTTCGACAAAAGATCCATTTTTCGTCACCAGTCACAAGTCTATCCAAAAAAGGTGAAACAAGTTGGCGAGAATGGAGAGAAGAGCAGATGTCAACTCGGGATTTGTGGTTGTTTTCAGACAATTCATGAGGCACCCATTTTTCAAGTTTAGGAACTTTTCCAAGTTGTTGAAGATGTCGATGAACAGTTGTATGGTTTGAACTGAGAACCACTGCCAATTCCTCAACTGATAAAGCAGGATTTTCTTCAAGGGCTGCTTCAAGAAGCTTTTCATCAAACTCAATTGGATGTCCGGTTCGATCTTCATCTTCAAGGGTGAAATCTCCACCTCTGAATTTTGCAAACTATCTTCTGCAAGTTCTTTCATTCACACATTCCTCTTCATAAACTGAGTGAATGTTTCTAGCCGCTTCGGCTGCTGAGTTTCCTTTCTTGAACTCATAAAGCATTATGTGCCTCAAATGATTCTTGGGTACTTCCATGTTAGCAGGGTTTTAATCAAACAAAATTTAATTTTATTGTTCTCTGAAATACAATTTGATCAGTTTAAATGCATCTAAACATAAAAATAATGTTCAGCTCCATTAGACATTATAAAATACTCTTTAAATTTCGTTCATTTTAACAAAAAGTTAAAATTCGGACAGAACTTATGGGATGACCTGATAGATACTGACCAGGCTCGAATGTGGCTTAACTTGTGTTCGTATGAGAACCGGTGTTTCAACGTGATATGGTCGCAAGCCTTATGATTTTATCTTTGTCTTAAAGTTTACATTCTTTATTTCTATATCGGTCAATTTATTTACTCTCCTGCTGACCAGGCTCCTCGTAGCTTAACTTGGGTGATCGTACGGGAAACGGCACATAGAAGAAAAAGATGAAAAAGAAACAGATCATCGCGTATGGAAATTTGGTTTCAGTACCCAGTAGATTGGCATTGTAAGATGCCTTCGAAAAGCTAAGCAGAGTATTAAGAAACAAAAAAATTCGCTAGAAACAAAGAAAAGGATATTGAACTATTACGTGATATCTGTTGTGCATGGCAGCAAATGTTGTACAATCTCCTCACAGATGAAGAAGAGACTTGAAGCAACAGAAATGTGGTTCTACAGAAAGATGATGAGGATACCATGAGCCGAACATGTGAGCAACGACGAGGTTTTGGAGAAAATGGAAACCAAAAGGAAACTTATAATTAACATCAGGAACAGGCAGTTCAAATTTCTGGGGCACATTATGAGGAAAGAGGGCTTGGAAAATCTGATACTTACAGGACAGACTGAGGGAACAGAGGGACAGAAAAAAGCAGTACTTGATGAACTTGAGGAAATGGATGGTAAAACAGGGTTTGAGAGAAATAGCAAAAAGACAAAACTTATTAAGAGTTACAAGTGACAGGATGATGTGGAGAACCATGATCGCCTACGTCCTGAAGGGACATTTCACATAAAAGAAGAAAGAATGTTTTCGTAGCACGGATAATAATCGAAGTAGCTTGGGTGGGTCAGTTCTGCTTACATGCGGTTGGTAGCCTACTGATTGCTCTCGGGTTCGATCTTTCTTGGCGGGTCGTTGTGGCTGTTGCTAGTAACTGAATGATAAGGTTAGCATAAACGTGCGCGAATGTCGATATACTATTTTTTTGTTGCCTCTATTCATAGTGTCAAAATTAAATTAGGCCTGCTCACTCTTAGGGTGCGTATTGAGGATAAAAGATATAGGGTTAAAAAGCAAGCCACTTACCTGACGAGCATGTGTGAATGAATGGCAGAACGGAGCCTTAGGAAAGGGAGAAAGACTGCTAAGAACTACATGGGATAGGAAGTTGTAGAGAGCCATGATCGCCCATATTCTGAAGAGTGGCGGAACATAGAAGAAGAATACAGTAGACGTCAATATGCAAGTAGACGCTATGGACAACTATGAGAGGCCAACCCCTAGAATGTATCCTAGACGAGGTTGAAAACCTTTTGATGATAAACCCGACTCAGTGAAATTTCGTAAGCTTTTCATCGGTAGTCTAATTTATGAAACAAATGATTAAGAATGGGAATGATTACTGACTGTGTGGACATAAGGGACCTCAAGACCAAATAGTCAAGAAGGTTTGGCTTTATTATTTGCAAAAATGGAAATGTAGTTTTTTTTTATAATTTGACCCCAACTAAGGCAACAAAGCCACTAAGACGCAAGGAGTTACTGCATGGGAAAGAATATAAGAAAAAAAAACATTAAGGCGGGAGAATAATAAAAGAATCGAAATTAAGAAAACAGAAGATAACGATTGACGATGAATTTAAATTTTTGAATGTCAAACTTTTCAGGATCAGACAAGAAGCCGGAAGAGAGATACATAAGCGAGAAGTGCGAGAAAATAAACTTAGCATAGAACTTACGGTTACATATAGCCATTTCAATTGTAAAATGATGAAACCTTGTCGCCAATCTAGTACAGTACTTAAATTCATAGGATCTAGGTACCATAGAGGAGAATTCATTAGAACAATTAGCATGAAAGTATTTATAGAAAAGTTACAAGGAAGCTACATTACTGCGACGGGAAAAAGACTGAGGTCGAGATGCCAGGTCAGGATTAATAACATTGC